AAGTTTATCGGGAAATTGATAAATTAATTACAGTTGAAATTACAAGTTTGATTCACGATGCAATGACGAGGGAAATGCACGTCGTCTACTTTTAATTGTATGCTCGTTAGGTTGTCTTTAAGACGAGCTGATTTTTTTAGCGACAAATTTCTTAGGAAATTGATAAATCAATTAATAATCAAAGCTCTGATGAAAGAAATTGATGATATCTTACGGGAAACGCAATAATTGCTACGCGACAATATCGACGAGTACATAATCAGAGATCGATGTCCTTGCATCGCGGCTATGTGCTTTCGCACGCAACGAGTTAATGAGGCTAAATTAGAATAAATAAGGATCGCGTGATCAGCAGACGGACGTATTAAAATACGAATCGCTGGAATGAAGCAAGCGGCGTTTCCGCAGCCGCTTTTAACTTCCTCCTGCACGGAGGTGTACGACCTGCCGGAATGACTCTCCTCGAATCGCCAGGCTTCCCCCTGGAAACACGTGGTGAACTGGACCACGAGGACGCGTCAGTACCGTTAAGAACGGAGTCGGCAAAAAGCGAGCCGTGACCAAACCAGGCGTACACGTTCAGGCGCACTGCTCGTTACGAATTTTCTGCTGAATTCGCGCAAGACTTGGCACACTCGTGCGCAAAGTACTTATACGCCTGCAAAGCGTCCTTCGAATCTGGCGCCGACATTTCTTTGCGAAACTGGAGACTACGAAAAGCTCTCGGTGTTCGATCACGCAGGCTCGAATTAAATAAATATTTGAAATGTCTGGAAACGCCGAGCTCGTTTAGATTCTCGCGCAGCCCCGATTGCCCAGCTTTGATTGATTCTTCTTAGGATTTATTGCAAAACGTTTGGTCGTTTTAATTTAAGGATTCATAACTCACTGCGCGCAGCGCGGTACGTTGTTATCTACGCACGGGTGGCCAATTAAAACGAAGAAATCGATATTTAGCGATAACGATAAACCTTATTAATGCGCGTATTGTCACGACGTTGAACAACGTAATCGACGTTGCCTCTTTGAACCCGAGAAACCCGGCGCGCCGAATCTAGCACACGCGAGCGCGAGACATTTTGCAACGGTGCGATTATGAAACCGAGAAGGATGCGGGTCATAAAAGAAAATATCCGGCGAGGGGGAGGGGAAGAGGGGACAAGTAGACGCGTGTCGTAATAATAATAATTACGATTGCCGTGCAATAACGACGATCCAGGGCCGGAAAGTCAAGGACCAGAAGCCTCGCACCGGAAAGTGAGTCAGCGATGCAGACGGGAACGGGGGGGAAAATCCGCGAGACGAATCTTACGCAACGGGGAGGAACGAGAACGAAAGTGCGGCCGTCGCGACGGCGGAGAAAATCCGCGCGAGCGATCTAAGGACGGTTGCAATCGTAGCCAAACGTTTTCGCCCACGTTCGGTTTTCTTTCCGTATAGCGCGACCGTCTCCCTACTTCGCGACTTTTAGCGCAAACTGTACACGCTACATAATTAACGCAACTCCGCGTCTTATATGTATACACTAGCGCGCTTTGTGAAAAACGAAGATCGAATAATGTTGCCTTTGCGAATGTATTGGCCGACACGCTTCGAAATATCGTCAGATGGCGAATTTCGAATTACAATTGCGCATAAACGGCACGGTTGCGTATCCCGATCTTGCAATATGTCATTCCTAATATCATTATGCATCATAGATTAGTTTTCTAGCAAAATACATAAACAATTTCTATCACAATAAATTAAAATATCAATGCAGAGCACGTTTCGCCTATACCTAGAGGTGTGACATTTTGATGTGATTTTTTGGCATCTTTTGCGTTTTGTTTTTCCGCATTTTGCATTACTTTGATAATGCTGTGGTCAGAGGTGGGCAGGGCTTCAATAAGACGACTTAGGCCCGGTTTCACCAACGTCGCTTAACTTTAAACTTAGTTGAATTCGTTCTTTGTCTCTTTCCAACTGTTACTTTAAAAAGAGGCAAAGAACAAATTAGGCTTAGAAATGTTTACTAAGGAAAATTGCGATTTTTTGACGTTATTTTGCGCGTTGAGGATCATTTTGCGTTATTTTGCGTTTTAAAAACGTGTTAAAACGAAGTTGGGGACTCCAAAGTGTATAGAAATGACATCAAAAACGTTCCTGGGGCATTTTGCGATATTTTGCGTATAATGATAATATCAAAATGTCACACCTCTACCTATACCATACCAGTAACTGTGATACTGAATATCTCGACTTTGGTACGGACACGGTTTTTCAAATTGAGCAGGCATATAGATAACACTATTAATAGCATACGGTCGAAATTTGAAGCAAATACATAGGAAATCGATTTACCGATCAACGTCCTTAACGCCCCGACGAGTAAATCGACGGCGAGAGCCTCGTGAGCGGATTATCGCGGTGTAGGTAGATAGGTAGGTAGCGTGCACGCGCCGCTCGGGAATGCGAACACGCGAAATTCCTCGCGGAATGATACTGCGGTTGCACCGCGAGAATCGTCGCAAACAACTTTCCATGACTCGCGAGCGCGATAAAAGCGATTACGCCGCTCGAGAGACAATCGCTGCCGTAAGTGACAATGCGAAGAAGAGACGAGCGAGGCGCGTACGCTAGAATATGGACATCGCGATTGACTGCTAATTAATCGATTTTTCATTGCGCTGGTTATCGCACAATTTATTTCCTAGCAGACACTTGTTCGATCATTGATCTCATCGGCACGCCAGTGTCGCTCTCTCTATCTCGGTTGTTAAGAGGATCCTTCAGCCATCTTTTTTATGATTCCTTTTATTAGCTTTTATGCACCAAATAATACCAGGATAAGTTGCGGACCGCATAGCAGAACATTTTCATACTTAAAACACTCAGTTCCGAAGTCTAATAAAAAAGATATTGGTATTTGAAATCCTCAATTCGTAGGTCTAACTCAATCTGAAATTGGCTTGATAAAATTGCAAAATTCGTCCACACGATTAAAGTACGCATAAAGACCAAACCAGGGACAGTCAACTTTATATAAAAGAACGAAGAGAAATGAAAACTATGACTTTATAAATGATTGAAGTTAGGTAACCTCGCAAAAACTACATTTGACTGTGTCGGTAAAAAAAAGATGGCTGAAGGATCCTATCAAGTCGCGCTCGAGGAATAGTTAACGTGGGGATTCACTCGCCTGTTTCGTATGTGTTGCAGATGTCCTCGAGATCACGGTGTTGCCGAAACCACGTCTGAGTAAACGAGTCGTAAGTGACCGATTCAGATTCTTTAACGATTGCACGACACGTGGGGTGGAGGCGTAAACGTAATTTCTCATGACCGCGATAAGTAACGTTTGTATTTGCAATTGGCGTCGTCAGTGTCTTTCGTAAAACGTAAGCGCGTTGACGTAATTTAAAGCGACACTTCTTGCCGACGAGAGGACGTAGCTTTTTGTTCTTCGTTACTTTCGGTCGTGCAAACGTGCGAGCCTCCGCTTCTTTTTCTAAGAAGCCAAGATTGTTAAACTTGAAAAATACCTTTCGCGTCACGTCCACCCGTACCATGGCACATCCGCACACCATACCACTTTCATGCGAAAGCCTCGTTTCGTAGAATTACAGGAAGTAGCTCTTCGCAAACCTCACACACGCGCGCATACATATTGGTTACACAAAGCGTGGACGCATATCCGAAGCGCGGGACAGTGGATCGTCCCCCCCGAGATCTCGAACCCATTGGCCATGACCTGCCTCCACCCATGTGATAGCGTAAAACACGTCTTATGTTGCGCCGTACGTACGTCCCCAGGGCATTCCATCTATTCGATGATTAAACCGAAAAAACGCAGACCGCGCGCCCTTCGTTCAGATAAAGACATAAAACTGTTTCAGATTTTTCGTTGGAGTATTTTTACGAGCAGAAGAAACATGGTTCGCGATCATTAAAACCTAATCTACAATGCGTTCTTTGCGTCTAGAAACATTCTATTTTGTAGCCAATAAATACGTTTAAAAAATTTGTACAAGTTGATAAATTACACACTAAGAATTATTCTGATGCCTTCTCACATGAATTTGTGCACAGATTAACACATTTATACATATCCATACACAGAACATGTGTATGTGTTCTATATATGCCTAAATTCATATGCATAAGTGATTCCTACACTGAGAAAAATTTTCATCGGATAAACCAATTAAATAGTATGTCCGATGGTTAATTTTTCCGATTACGTTTTCCGATTAAATTATGGATATATCCGATGAAATTTATCCGATGAAATGCAATTACCGATGAAATTTGATTGAAAAACCGATCAAATTTTTCATCGGATATACAATTTAATCGGATATATCCGTTTGTTATCATGTAATTGGATTATCCGATTATATTTAATCGGACATTTTTCTCAGTGTAGTGTACATTATACATTGATGTCTTATTGATTAATGCCTGGATCTCAGTTTTACTAAACTTTCAAAAATTTCTCAGCATTTCCAAGAATTTTGCGAAAATTCCAAAAATCTTTCGGCATTTCCAAGAACTTTTTTGGGCCGCCATTATCTTGGGCAGCAATCCAGTGTAGATTAGCCTTAACAGACAGTCCATGTGAAATTTCGCGTATTGCTTGTTTTTTTTTCAAATTTTTATTGCGCCGAGACGATAAAAATTGGAAAACGGAGAAACTTGTAAATACTTTTACGCGCCGAAAGTTTTCTCGCGGGATTAAAATTATGCGTCGGCCGTTTAAAAGATTTAACGTCTATTTTATTATTGTTAATCATTGCTTATCCGATTAGCTGACGCATAACATTTACGCAATACGTGTTTCCGGTTAATGCTAATCTAATTTGTCTTACTAATTTCTTTCATCAATCGCGCGGTCGATCGTTAATCGTGAGGTGAGAGCGCGCGATTTCCAGCCGGGCGCAGCCCGTCGGTTACGCAACGGCGAGAAATCGGTATCGACTTATCGGTAACGAGCACAATGAAATCTATTATTTTCTTTATCTCATTGATAGCGAGGGACATTCGTTTCAATCCCGCGGTCAGAGTTATTAACGCGCAAGAAACGCACCGTCGAATCGCGCATGCAGCCGGCCAATTAACGTGATTACGATCGGTCATGCGAGTTCAATGCACGTCGTTGCGCGATCTCGGCGCGCGAACCATCGGCCTTTCTTTCCTTCTTTTACTCGCTGTTTATAGATGGAAATGACGTCACGGTTATGCCGGCACCGCGGACGGTATATGCAAAGTAATGCAAATGACATGCCGAAACTCCTCGCCCCCCCGTCTTTCTATGTATAGAACGCCCGTCGTAGCGGTTTAGCGTCCCAAGGTGGTATTTGAAATGGCGAAAAAGAAGCTTGTCCGACTGATAAATTTGCTTCATTCGGCCCGACGACGAGCCTGCCTAGCTCTAGGCGATTAGTTACGGGACGGCTACTTTAGAATAGCTATCTCAGTATGCGCGGAACTTTGACATTCGCCTTTTTCTATTTCACGTATTGACCGAGGAAAAACATTTCTCGTTAAATCATAGTCGGCAATTGTCGTTGTCCATTTTTCCTCGAAGTCATTGGAAAAACTTGGCGAGCAATTTTTTACGCTCTCTTCAATTTCGGATCGCGTAGATGGTATATGTATTATAATATGCGCTACATTCCCGAATATATATTTTTTATATTACAACTTGCGAGCAATTTGCCCCACAATTGTATGAATTATTACAGCGGCTAACTGAAATATTGAGCCCTTAATGGTCGCCGTACCTTTTCACGAGTTAATTTTATCGTGCAAACTGAACCGCCTCTTATCTCCAGCCCCACATTGACGATTGTCGAGATAATGATAATACGCTGATAAGGACACCTAGATGGCCGGGTTTATCTGCGTTTTACCATCGCTTTTCAGCGTGGTCGGCATAATTGAGTATCGAACGTATCGCGCGCGACTAGGATCGACTTGAATGTTTCGCAGGTGCTACAACGGTGGTAATTATCGCCGGGCTGGGCGTGTGTATACTAATTACAGGTATTAGATAATCATCGGCGTGTTAAGCTAGGCGGGACGTTTTACTTTCATTACTTTCCTTCACGGTCTGCTTGAATAGACCGTGAAAATTACGATCTTCATGTATATATGCGATTACAAGATATTACAAAGTACAACGTAATAGCAATAATTAGTAATAAGTTTCGCTCGCTATTACGTTAAACCGGAAAGCGCCGCGAGTAACGTTTCGTGGGCACACTCTGTATCGTACTTTCCGATAATTGCTTATCTTCGGCATCCTCAGATACACGCATCCAATTTAGCTCTTAAAAGTCCACTTCTCTACCCGCCGCGTTGACCTCCTTTCGGTGGTCACGCCGGCCATCTCGGTGCGCAACATTCACTTCGATTCGATAGCGCGCAGAGTTAACATTCGAAAATATTAATAATCATCATTACAGACACCCCACGCAACGCTCGTACTCGTCCTTGACACAGTGAGCTACGCAATCCTCGTTCATCTTCGAAGTACGCGAAGCATCTCGTTGCTGCCGTCGCTATAAATATTCATCAAGTAACATAAAACCTCCTCGTTCAGTCACAAATGCCGAACACATGCACATCGCATTATCGACGATCGTATCCACATGCGAATTCTTTGTGTTGCAGGTAAATCAGATCGAAGATGCAGGCAGCACCGCCTCTGCTGTCGTTCGTCCTGGTCCTTCTGTATCATTCGGGATGGACGTACGGGCTCTGCAAGCAGGACAACAGCACCTCAGCGTGGTGCGACAAGCTGGAGGACCTCGAGCACATCGAAACGGACGGTCTGGAGTACTTGAGTGTTCCGGGCTTCGTCGCGCAAGACGTTTTAGTTCCGAGCCTCTTCGCCAACCTGACCAGCCTCAGGCATCTTGACCTATCCGACGGCGATCTGAAGGTGATCGAACCAGGAAGTTTTCGAACTTTAAGTAACTTGAAAAGTCTCAATCTCGGCGACAACAGCATCGAGTACCTGGAACTAGCTTCGCTGGAGGGCTTGACTCACCTGCGAAGCCTGAACCTGCGGAGGAACGCCATCAAGCAACTACCACCCGCGCTGGCGCGCCTGAAGAATCTTAAGCATCTGGACATCCACGGCAATCCGCTCGAGTGCAACTGCGCCACTCTCAAAGTCCGCGATCTTATCGCGCAGAGGGGCGTGACAATATCGAAGAAGGTCATATGCGCGGGTCCCGGCAACATGAAGGGCACGTCGCTGATGAAACCGATCGCGGCGATTATCTGCAGCTTCGAGCAGCAGGATCGGGAGATGCAGAACGATCAAGCGGAGGGATCCGCAGAGCCGGAGCTAGGATCCGGAGATGTGTTGGACGCGTTCAATGAAGAGGACGACGAAGAAGATGATTACACGGAGGTCAACAACAGCACGTCGGCGAAGTCGACGGAGCCGGAAGTCGAGACTCCTTTCCCGACTGAGTTGGCAGTAGATTCCGCGACAGAATCTTCCTCGAAAGAGATCACTACCGACGCAGCAACGGGTTCCTTGCAACATAGCGCTGAGGACGAAGAGCTTTTCTTTGACAGTGAAGACAAGAAGGAGCAGGCATCCACGACCGAGATGTCGCGGATGAAAGAGAAAATCAAGGACTCCCTGTTTTACCCAAATGAAGGCTCCGGCGACGAGGAAGGTTCCGGCGAAGGATCCGGTACTGTTGGAGCGTTTTTCGACGAGGAGAATACTGAGAAGGCGAAAGCCAATGAAGAATCGCTACTTTACACGGGAAGTAGCCTGTGGAATTTCTTCCTGGACGGCTTCTCGGAAACTCCCGCTACTACGTTGAAGACTACAGTCACAGATCTTGAGGAGGAGCAATTTATAGATCTATCCACAAAAGTGGCCACCGAGGAGCTCATTGTGCCCAGCAAAGGCCACACAGTCGAATCCGATGTTGATAGAACCACCGAGGTCACCACGAAGGTCATATCGCCCGATTCAAACGTCAATGACGTACAGGTGTTGAAATCTCCCAAGACGAACAATGAGTCCAAATCTGGTAATATCATGGACAGAAATAGCAATGAACAAGCGGTATCTTCGCCCAAGCAGTCCAAGAAAGGCATGGGTTCGTACGTCGTTCTGGCCGTTCTGCTTGCCATTGTGGCGGCGCTGATCGGTTTCGCCGCGTACAGGGGCGAGATATGTAGAAAGAGAAAACAGCCCGACGTAGAGACCGGTACCGAGATGAAGGAGATACAGAAGTCCCTTTTGGAGAACGGCGATAATTCGTCTCACCCAAAGAAAGACCAAAATTCTGCGCCATACGCGCGGGAGCTCGAGAGCGTTCCTCTCATGAAGGTTAGATCTCCTGGCGACGACGCGAAGATTCACGAGATCCACGATGATAACCGTCAAGCGCAGGAAACGCCGCGCCTCAATGGCAACGTCGATCACTCGGAACCCGTGAAACCGCCGAGGAAGCAACTTTCGCACGACGAAAGTGCAACTTCGCAAGACGACGAGGTGAGGGAGGAGAGACCTCGCGTGGACGTGAGTTCCTTGAAGAAGAACTTCCTGGAGGATAGGAACCCGCAGCCCTCCACTTCATTGATGGCGACGACCAATGGACCGACGAGTCACGCTTCGGAGTCCAATGGACCACCGCTCAGTCCCGGGGCCCAAAGAGTGAAGATCATCCTGCAGGAGATTCCCGAAAGTGTGCCAAAGACGCCCATACTCATCACGCGAACAATGGCCGGTGAGAATCTAGTCAAGACGTCATGAAGCGGTGTCCTGGGGAGAGAATCTACGAAATAACGAACTTTACGTCGACCGATCGACGTACACGTCTGTCGAACATAATTGAGAGACAAATATTTGGTGCAGATATGAAGGAAAAGGAATTTCTTTTTCTACGAATGCGACATGTCTCAGATGTGATTTATAATAACGCCGTTGTTCCTAGGGCTGCACGCAAATTGACTTCTCTCGATGGATTTTCGTGATAAAGAAAGATTACCGAGTCAGAGACCATGCACGCACCGACAGTGGCTGACTATTGTTTTCGGCAGGAAGCTGAAAGTGTGCGAAAGGTGACTGAGGGACAGATGTAACTTCGAGCCGCTTCGTTGAACAATCGGACGCACGAAATGCTATATGTATATATTTGCTGAAATTGTATGCCGTGCAGGATGTCCTTTGGGTATCGCGTATTCTTTTTTACTTATGGCATTGTCTTTTTCGACTAAGTTTTATAACGGAACTTCGTGCGATCGTAGATTCTAATTTTTCGTGAAATTTTGCATACGTATAAAATGAATTAAATAGGTGAGCCTAGAAATTCAACAAATCTAAAAAACGATTTTAAACCACACGTAGTAATTCTTTATCCGTAAAAAGTATAATTTTTGTAATCTCTTATAAAAGTATAACGCAATATTCTTTTATAAAACAGTACGAAGAAGTGACTCTAACAACTGATAATTTCTAAATTTATCTATTTATTTCTACTTATATGTATGCAAAGATTCGTAAAAATTAGAATTTAAAATCACATTTCGCGAAGTGTTTTGTTAATTTCTGGGATTAAATTTTGGCGAATTAAAATCTAACTAAAAATTTGTTTAAACAAAGTCTGAAATAAATATACATATTCTCTGATTTAACCGTAACACTCGAAGAATGTATTGTCAAAATCTTGTGACTTTTATCGCTTATAATTCACGAGCTACTCTTATTAAATCTCAGTTGTCTTTTCCCTTAATTTAATTGATCAAAAAGTATAATACTTTAGACATCCTGTATCAATGCCATTCCAGTGAGAAATTCGTCGATCGAATCGATGTCGAAACGACGTCGAACTAACGTCAATTTCACGGTGTCGTTTCTCGCTGGGATACGCATAGGAATCTGCGGATGGAGTAACGTTCGAAGTCAACACTATAGTACACTAGTCAGTCTTCTTAATCGGTTTCTCGCGTGTCCTGCGAGCAAGGACATTGAGAATTCCGCGGTATTTGTTATCGAGAGGCATGCATTGCGAGGGTCCTCGGATCAATCTCGAGGATCGGCAAAATGTTCGCCGTACGTCAGTGCGTCGATGAGCATTCCAGTTCTGCCATATATTTTTCCACGCACGAACCATCGAAGAATAGTGTACACCGTCGGCCTTATGCCGCCCTGCGATCGAATTACAGATTGTTTGCCTCGTACCTCGTATTTTTAGCGCAGCTCTTTACGTGCGACGCGGTTTGGACGCGAAGAATTTGTAATTCAATGAGAGGTAGAATTTGCCAATTATGAATAATGACCTTTGGGACAGCTTGTAGCAGCTACGGAGTGCGAACGTTTGTTGAGCAATTTGACAATACTGCTGATGTTATATATATATAGGGCTCATTATTCACGTCAGAGAAGAAAAATATACGTAAATGTCCTGTTATCATGTAACTTCCCCTGTAAGGGACACGATTTCCTCGCGATCTTAGAGGCGTTTTCAGAGAGGCAGCGACTCGTATTTTCATACGCATCAATGTATTTATTCGTTGCGCACGGCGCAAAAGGAGGAGACGAACGGATTCCGTGTATGTGACGGCGCTCCAACGCGTCATTATCAGTTAAATGAACGCTGTGTCATGTAGTGGTGCGCGGTATATGACAAAGCGCCGTGATGTGCTATCATATTATCCATACTATCGACTATTACTCCTTACGTACGATTCTTTAAGTCAAAATGTGTCGAATGCTGTTACGGCGTATATGATTTAATTTTAAGATAGCGCGGCCGTTGGATCGAGAACTTGTCGCAACGATAACGCAACGTCGGATCTAAGTTAGCGATTAAATAAGGAGCTCAGTGAAGATTGTAAGACTTTATTTATATGTTCAGCCTTTGATCAATAAAAGAGAGTGTTATTTTGTTGATACCATCAGTTACTTTAATCGTGCGTCACGCTAATCTTTGACCGCGCTCCGTTCTCGTACACGTCATCGACATTACGCGCGATTTCTTTTCTATATTTGTTATATAATTACCCGGCAACACACCCTGCTTCTAATGAAAGTGCAACTTGCGTCGCGATTGTCAAAGAGACATAACAAAAAGAGTCCTCTATTATGAGATAGCAGGTTTTCAACATCCGAATTCAATCACAAATCTTTTTCCGCAACGATTGCACAATCTAACAATGAATTTTCCTAGATAGATTCCGCTCCGAGGGCAATAAATTCATGGTGGAATCAACTAATGATGCCTATAATTAATTCAACAGAAACTCCGCTATCCCATATTAGGATCCTATCTCATGATAGGATCTATATATAGAGGACTTTCCTCTATATATTTTTCCTGTTAATATCCTATACGTATACGAGAGCGATTTTGTAATATCTTATCAATTTAGATGAAAATTCATACGTCTTAAACAATTTTGCACTTTTTCCATAACAAGCAGTCGATGCCACACAGCTAGCCGATAAATGCGTAAGTGAAACGTCCCCTGTGTGCAACGACTGGGTATTACTGAATATATACTAGATATTTAATTATTTAATTATCTATCATCTATGCACGTTGCCGTTCGCCGCCTCTCTTATTGTCGCAAATGATACATTAACATGATAAACGATTAATTCATGACTGTAATCTCAAAGTATCTTAATTTTTTTTTTGAGATTGACAAGAAATTACTATAATCTGAGAGCGGCGCGTCTTTGCTACATTCAAACCGGTAATCTGACGTTATTATAGTTAGACTCTCGACAGCGGAGACAGTGTTCCAAGAAGGCGCTTGTACTTTTGCTCTTCTTCAGCGTAAACCTTTTACTATTGGCTCGCCGTCTCTTGTCATTTCCGCGATTACTAATCTTCCTTGGGCAATATATGTGTGTTTAACGCGAGTGAAAAAACCAGTTTGACAAGATAAAACCGCCGTAATATTATCGCGCGAACTGACGTACGTTATCATGGATCCGTACATACCCTGTTGATTTAGACCGTACTATTTGGACGATGTGTGCACGTAGTTAATATTACATGTGTGTAATCCAATTACACAATAACAAACGGACGTGTCCAATTAAACCGTATATCCGAAATCTTTCTCAGTGTACGATGAAAACATAAAAAATCTACATTCCCCTCTCGTCTATATCGTTTATTAAATTTTTATTAAAGTACTAAAAAAGATTTGTTTTACGCCCGGAAATGATTCACAAATGAGACAGTTTAAGATTCGCGTTCCACGAATGATTCTCTGTAGCCACCCTTGGGCTCTCGCTTGAGTTCCTTGATGACGATGGATCGGTTGGAACTCATTACCTGAACGTAATCGGAATCTTCGTCGTCAGTAACATGCTCATCTCTGAACACCTGTCTTCTCTTTCTCTTCTTCGAGGTGGGAGTCTGCGGCCTTGGCCTGTCCTTGCTACTGCTGGACTCGATGGCCTCGTCCGCGGCGCTGTGCCTCCTGGCTCTGCGCGCCGAGGATGCCCTAGGATTCCTGGGATTCGTATTATGCAGTTGATCCGTGTCGCATATGTTGCCGCTGGAATTATTCCTCCCTCTTCTGATGCGTTCCTGCCGGCGTTCTTCTCGTCTCAGCAGATCGTCCTCGCTCTGAGTCCGTTTTCGAGGTCTCCTCGTTCTTCTCTTCTTCGCCCGTAGATTATCCACGGAATTTATGGAGCGCAAAGTGCCATTTTCGATGGAGATCTCGTTCAAAGCGTCCATCGAACGAGCCAACCTGGGCATTTGAACCGCTTCCTCGTAGCTAGGCGGGCCGACTAATTCTAGAGGATTAATTCTGATGTCCTCTGGCATTTCGAGTTCCGCCATTTCTTCCTCTAAACGTCGATTCCTGGAAGCGCGGTCAAACAGTCTTTATTTTACTTCATCTCGCTGTGTAAGCGCAACTTACAATTAGAGGTTGAAAGGTAATGAACAGAATTTCTTCTGATATTTATCTCGAAATTTCTGTTATAAATTTTTTAAACACTGCGTCGGTAACTTGTTCTCCGAATATCACCGTTCAAGATATGAATAATGTACCAGCTTGCGAAATTGTAATGTAAATCTATCGTTCTGGACAGATATCTGTCTTATCTGTTGCAGGTAGGTGTTCGTTCTCTCTAGCATACTTTTCCTTGTTCGTTCCATTCACGTTGAGCAATATTATAAACGCAACGCGGGTATTAAATTACTCGAACGTTAATCCCGCTATTGTTTAAAGATCGTCGAACGTTCACTGACAACACCCGTATCGATTTTGCTCGCGGGCAACGTGCAATGAAATTAGCTTCAGATACATTTTGCACATGTGTGTATACAGAACTGAAAAATTATTAATCTAAAAGCATTCTCACCTCCTTTGCAACAGTCGCAATCTTTCTCTCTCTTCCGCTAATTCAATTTGCTGCCTCTGATCGCTGACTCTTCTCTTTATCTTCAGAGTGTGCTTAATCGACACGATGCTGCCGCACAGAACGACCATGATGAGCAAGCCGATCATTACCATTCCCCAAGTTCTGTCTTTGTTGTAATATATGTCGGTGTTCCAGGCGTCGAAACACGCGGCTTCCCACGAGAAGCCGGAAACGTTCGCCGGACTCTGGCAAATCAAAGTCGAGCCCACAGTTTTCGCGGGATGATCCGTTAAGTACTCGTAGGTGAAGTAGAGCGGTATACAGTCGCATCTCCATGGATTATCCTCTAAACGGACTAGGGCCAAATCTGGATTGTACCGGAATATGGCGGGATCAACTGCCTCGGTCAAGCGATTTCCTACCGAGTAATTGATTGATTACACAAAGCACAGGCGCAAAAAGTTCTATCGAGGATTCACAGGAAATAAAAGGTAAATCGCGATTGCGGAATGAAACGAATTTCAAAATTATAATTACAATTATTCTCGGACTTATTCAGAGATCGTGTTGTGTTTCAATTGAATTTTTTAATGGAAAACACTGAAAATTTAATCCTGTTTCTTCAGCGACTTATCGTATTATTAACAAGTTCCATCGAAGTCAGATATCTTTTTCTCCTATTGTTTTTGTCGCAAATGACTCAAGAGTTAGTGCATACCTGACAAATCAATCTTTTGCAACGATGGTAATTTAGCGAAACTATCGTTGTGCAGCTCGACGAGCCTATTCCTCTGTAGATCTAATACTTTTAGCGTCCTCGAATTTAAACCGCGTGGTAACGACTGCAGATGATTGTCCTTCAAGTTCAGGCTTCTGATTCTGGGCATCTCCTCCAGAGAGTCCGGCTTGAGGCGGTTGATTAGATTGAAAGACAGGTCCAGCGTCGTGACCAGCGACGACAGATCCGGAAATCGGTGTAGAGAGTTGTAGGAAAGATTCAGGAGTCTGAGATCGATGTTATCCCGGAACGCCGACGTGTGAATTTCTCCGAGGTTGTTTGCGGACAGATCCAGCACCTGAAGCTTCATCAGACCCTCGAATGTACTCGCGTTTATTCGCTCCAAGTTGTTCGCATTTACGTACACGTGCGTCAGTTGCTTATTTTTAGTGAAAATACGATCTGGCAGTATACGAATTGTGTTGCGAGAGAGACGAGCCTGCGTTAACAGCGGGAGACCATGAAGACCAGGTCGGTCAAGGTTACATCTCGATACATCGAGTTTCTTTAGCTTCAGGTGTTGCAGCGTCGAATGCCTACAAACGAATAATATATTTCGTTATTTATAAAATTCTTATTAAAGGGTTTTGCTTAATAAGAGCTGTCAGATATATGGTTACTTTCCGTACAAATTGCAGGTGCAATCGAACAAAGTTTCATACCGAGTGCTATACACCAGTGTGGGATTGTTGACCAGTCGTAGCTCTTCCAGCTCTGGAAATCCGCTGAAAGTGTCTGGATAGAGATAATTTAGGACGCAGTCAGACATGTCTAACGACCGTAGGGTCTTGCTGACAGGCGTTTGAATGTTCTTCAGCGGATTTCCCGCGAGATTTAGAGTGATCAGCGCGGACAATCCATTCAGGGACTCGTTGCCAAGTTCTCTTATAACTAAAACACATGAAGCTCTTGTTAGTCCAATGCATAAATATATATGTACACGCATATATTTTATATTTCTTTTGTACTTCTGGACAGCACAAGCTTTTGTCTTAGTAAATTTATAAGTTAAACAATAGATGCTAAATTAGAATATGCGCGTAAATACGTTCCTTTTTCCTATCAATTCTTATTGTAACATTAATGTATTTCGCAAATCGATTTGGCGTCTTACTAGATGTCCGTGAAAGTCGCCTTTAAAAAAACGCTTTACGAATCTACATTATTTGTAATTATTTTATACTTATGACTATCGCGATACACACGGCAATGGCCGGCATCCACAGACTGAAGCACTTCGCTGGTTAGCCCTTTCAAGTCAGGTAATAGATTCCTTGAGACGCGTAGAACCGTCAGGGCCGGGAGCTGGCTAATGGAAGCAATATCTGCCGTATTAACGATAACGTTGCCCGATAGATCTAGTTTGCGAAGCTTCGTTAATTCTTCAAGATTATTCGGCAGGGATCTAAGCTGATTCTTGGCCAGATTCAGGTACTGTAGCTCGGTCAGCCGGTTAATTTCGTCCGTGATCTCACTTAAAAGGTTGCCTGACAGATCCAGGTACTCGGCCTGTCGCAGAAAAAGATAATTTCAGTAATTAAATAACATGTTAAGAAGAGATGACAATCTAGAAAAATATATCTATCCAAATGGGAGAGTCTACTGTCGAAGTGATGCGATTATCTCGGTCGCATCGTCTTCGTAATTCTCATCAAGTATATTTCTTCCGTTGCACTGCTACTTGATGTTATTTTGCAGACGCGATAGAATGCAAAGTGACCAGCTGCCACCTCACGTTTAATTGTAATGAGATTTATAATATGAAGAAGAATCGGCGAGAAGGGAGGTCATTACTCATCGCAAATATGCTCACCACATCACTAATGTTTTCGGGAAAGATCTGCAATCCTTGCTCCGAACACTGGACGGTCCTGGGTATTTGGCTAAGATAGCACAGGCACCTAGTAGGACAAACACTTTGACACCTCACGACTGAGAGAATTGTCAGCCATGTGATCAGCGATAGACGAAACACGCCGCGATGTCTCATCGATCGTTCCTCCATGTTTCTTTCACATCACTGAGGCGAATCGGGTGAATAATCGCGCGCCGCCCACATTCTCGCAATTCAATTTGCCCCCGTTATCAGGATGATATTTCTGGACGTCCGATCGCGCATCGTCAACGTCGAAATGTTCGTTACGCACGCTGGAAGCCGCGGGGGGACAAAGTCGCCGACCGAAAATCCTTTCGCCGTCCCCGCGAATCGATGGCCGAGCGTACCGGTTCCCCGAACCGTGCTAAGAGCACTGAGCTGCTAGTTATCTTTGATAAGTAACGCAAGGTACGTCGCACGATATCTCCGTAAGATAACCAGACCGCCGTGTCGAGGTGTCGAGCGCGATATTCCGTGTAAAAGGGACGAAAAAAAAACTGAGAGAGAATCGGACAAAGATAGAGTGGCGAATGCACCTGCAATTACGTGATGGTTCGTGCGTGTACGCAGCAGGATACGGATGGCGTCCGGGATATCGGTCTATTTCGTTCGTGCCGGCAACGATTGTGAGTCGATCCACGAGAGTCCGCTTCATTTATCACATTGCACTCATATTTTGTATGTATTTATTGTTCAATCGATAATTTCAATGGCAGTTTAATATTAATCACGTCGTGCTTAACGTACGATTATTAATTGATTGAAAGACGCGGTAAACTTTCCAATTTTTTTCCCCCGCGCGTCCGTAACCTGCGCGCGCTTCAGCATCGTCAATTTTTCAATATCGGTATTAGCGTCGCTAAATTATTGAGACGTGGATATTTTAACGAGCTCCGACGTAGGTCGAAGCGCTCCGTCGAGATCCGGAGAAACAGGTTTTCCGCGGAGGAGACATGAATGGAAATCTGAATGGGCAGTGCCGCGGAAAATGTAAGACATTAGATAAATATCTCAAGTATCCCGAAAGCCGATATTGAAGCGGGCATCTCCGTGGTCTAAGCTTCTCCCGGCTGACCCATGCGGATATTTTCCCCTGCCTCTCCTCACGACGCTGTCGCCGCATTACGATCTTTCTTCATCGCTTTTTTTTTTGATCCGACAGGATCGTATCTGCGGCTTCTTCTCTCCGCGGCGTCCAATGTAGGAAAGTAGTTAGATCAAATGAATTTGTTATATTTACGCGCTATCGTTCCGCGTATATACGATTGTGCGATTACCAAATGTAATACAAGGATCATCGTTGATCACACTTTTATGAACTAATCTTTCAAACTATCTACAAGTATCGTATATTTGCAATAAGATAAAACTAAATTAAAGTAACTGGCAAGGAAAACATCTTGGGATTATCTTGGGATAATTTTTCAAGAATCGAAATTTTTAACCGCACAATTAAATTCATTCAGTCGCCTGAAAGAAGAGCATTTTTAATAATCTCAGATTGCTAGGACTTGCTCGTGAAATCTTTACTACGGTAATGTGAGAGAAACCAGTTGGATAAATAGCCTGCTCTCTGAAAGTCACTCAGTGGATTATCACTGAAAACAATGAATAGCAACTGATTTGCAGTTGTAAGTAAACCCACTGTGTAAAACACTTTTTAGTAGTGTACTTATAACTGCAGATCAGTGGCTATTCACTGTTCTCAGTGATAATCAACTGATTGATTTTTAGAAAGTAGTAAAAAAGATTAACGATGAAGACATCTCAGTATGTAGGAGCAGAAGACGAGAACGTGAAGCACTTGCATCGATATGTGTGTGCGTGTAATATGATTGAATAAAAATACACCTGCAGGAATTGATATCAATCAGTGGTACGAATTAATTCAAGATTAAACTATTTAAATAATTTAATCGTGCATTTGTGCAGAGAATGCAAGTAATTTGCAATTGTTTGCGGTGAAAAAGCTCGGCCGAAGGCTCCACCCCTCGGAGAGAGGGATTTAAAAAGACCTTATCCGCGCAGGACAGACTCGTTCTCTTTTTCACACGTCCGGTCGGGCCAATAGCGAGGGCAGGTCACACCCTCGGGAGGGTGCGAGAGGTTTAGCTAGCGCCGGCGCTTAGCCCTGAGCTTATCCGGTGGGGAAGAGGACGTGCTCTACCTGTTGATATTAAACCAACCCCTTCGCCGCGATTTCGCAAATCCGGAGTACCACCGTTGCACCCGCGGTCACGCCCTTTGGCTCAACAGATACCCGCGAGCGGCCTTTCGTTACGCGCGATTTTGTACGCTGAAAAAAATTTTCGCTACCGCACACGGAAAGACCGGCCAAGGCAGAAATAGCTAAAATTAAAATGTTGCCGTATAAATAGCAGAGGCGTCTACATTCTTTTGCGTTGCAACGTTCACTGAGTTTGCTGCATAAAACGCATATAGTTGTCTCCACTACTTATCATACCAATGTGGGTATGACAACCACAGATATAACTGTCCCAAATATTACTATTTATTGGGGTTGTGCCAACCCTAATTAGACATGTGGTAGCCATATCGGTCTCTCCATGTAGCTAATCATAGTTTGCTAAAGTTATTTTGCTGCCACAACTATAAATTTCTCAACCACGGCAAACGGTTTGCTGCCGCACCTAACACAATAGAGACGGTAGCAAAGTATTTAGCCGTCACAGCTAGATTATTAGCTGTCCATATTTTACAACTAGAATTTAGTTGCCACATGCAGTGTTTTTTAGCTACGGCAGCTACATTTTTCTTTCCGTGTAGTGTCGCGAAAAATTAATATCGCGTTTTACCTGCCATCTTCGCAGGTCCCTCGCGAGATCGGAATTTGGAAGATCGAGCTTCTGGACACGCGGAGTGTTAGAAAGATAATATAATTAAACTGCTTGATTAGTCGATTTTTAAACGGAATTGAGTAACAAAGGACTGTTAACGCGTAGTCATGTCAATCACAGGCCTAGTGGTAACTCAATTGTATAATAGTCATATAAATACGATAATTGAAAATCGATTCCCTGTACATCGATTTCCCGTAATTACATATTTCACAGCAGAATGTCGGGCCCTCCTTTGACTGTACTTCGCTCTTTAATCTACACAATTGGGTTCGCGATAGCGGTTGTGAATATTCACGCAATATCGAATTCGTGTTAGATGCAGTAACCGCCGCGAAATGAAGATTCCAGCCGCGAGAATGGCTTCGGGATCGATCATCTCGGCGCACCGATTCCTCGCGCTCACCCTTGCGCGTCGTACACCAGCAAACCAGGTAGCAGATAGCTATAATTAAAAGTCGATCAGGCCGGGCCCTCGCAGATAAAGAGCCTCCGCCCGCGCGAGTGTACAGTGCGCGCCAATAACGATCATCTGATTGATCACAGGCTCGTAATCAGCAAAATAAATAAGATAACTTTAAGCAACGAGGTGTGCTAGTGTAACGACTGCGATTTTGTATCAATAAACAGCTGGGCAGCTTACAATTGCGTCGATAAAATTAAGAACATTATATGAAATACAAATATAAATATCAAAGGGCCAAATAGAGAGATCGCAGAGAACAATTCGACAAAGTAAAAGGCGAGACGTACTGAAACGTTCTTTCGTCGCCGCACTGCGAAAACTTTGATTCCCGGCAGAAAAAGATTAGAGTAGACCAGAGAATAACAATCTGTTTTCCATATAATCGTCACACCCGATAAAATGGTTAAAGTCGTTCACTTACCTAAGCCTCCTTTTAACCCCCGTCGCTCCAAGCTGGCGGCGCAACTCATCCCGGTCAACGTTTCCTCCATCGCGAAACGTCTCGCCGGCAGATCGGCCCCTCCGTCACTATTGAGGGCACCTGTACCGGAGAGGATATAATACCGGCGCGCGCTATCTGGAGTATATTTTTAACGCCTTCATTTCCGGCCGCGCTGGGACACCGGAAATAGCGGGACGATACCTCGCGGTGTTTCAGGTATTGATCAGTTCGAGGAGCCGGTGCCACACCACCCAACCACCCACCCCCGGCGGATGAGGAGGGAGGCTGCACGGCTCTGCAGACTCGAAGCTTCGACCCCCACACGGTCCCCCGCGTCTCCGCCACCCCCGCCACCGGCGGCGGCGTCCCGCTGGCGACGCCCCTGTCCGCCACCCCCAACCGCCGGCAGCGGCGTAACGTCGAAGACGGATCTTTAGGTATCTCCGCCGTCTGCGCTCGGATCTTCGGACTACGCTCCGCTGGCTCGGAGCGAACGAAAAGGGTGGCTGAGTGGGCGAACGGATGGCTGGTGGGGCGCGTTTTTAGGGAAGAAGCGAGAGAGCGACGGAATGAACTTTGTTGCCTCGCGGTACACACCCGCGACACGTATACGGAGGGTGGTGGTATCGATGGCCGCGTCGATGACCGGAATATGGCTTGCTGCTGGCGAAGTTCGCTGGAAACGGCGAACGACGGGAGGGTTTGAAAGAACCGGAGGAATTCGAATGGAGTTTTGGTCTCAACTTTCCAGAGGTGCATTGGAAGAATTCTGTATCGTCAGCAAGCGATTCTAATTGGGGTGGAAAAGACAATAGGTAACGCGACTTATGTGCAATCTGCGATTGTCACTGATTGACTTGAATATTCATTCTATTCAGAGTTCTAGAGAGTACAGATTACACATAAATCGTGAACACTCACCGTTTTCAGTGACAATCCGCCGATTGACTTTCAGAAAGTACAGATTGTACATAAATCACGTTATAAGTGTAGCACAGAATTATTTAATGCTGTACTTATAACTGTTTTCATTGATGATGCACTGATTGACTTTTAGACAGAGTATACGTGTGCAAAATTTAAAAAATAATAATTCGTTGTTAATTACTGCTGTCGACATCGAAGACTATTCTTATTAGTTGATTATACACCATTGACCTCAAACATGGTGTTTCCGCGTAATTGGGAAATGGGAGAAGAATGAAAGGGGACAGGGATACTTAAAAAATCGCGTATCGACAGTTCTGTGATACGTTTAAAGTAAAAAAATAGACGCGAAGACATCTTTATACTGTTACTGCGACAAATATTACGCCACAATGGTCGAATTGGTGAGACGTAGGGTGAGACGCCTAGAGTGTAGGGAGGTCCAGGACCAGGTTCAAATCCTGGCTGAGGTAATATTTTTCGCAATAAATTTTCTGTATTATTAAAAATGCCAGATATCGTCACGAATACGCCGACGTTGTAAAATTTAAAATTAACATTCGTACTTAAGGAATGTTCTGAATTTGACAATGAATAAATAACAACTGCATTAAGTAACTTTCCAACTGTTCAACAGTTACGTCCTTAAGCTTGAACAGCAATTTTTTGTCATCGATAAACTTTAGCATCTGCTCCGTACATGTTTATT